AGCTCTTCAGCTCAAGACTAGCACTCTACCACTTGAGCTACAGTGCCACTTCTGGTTTTCTGAGTGGTTAACTGGAGATAATAGTCTCCTGGATTTTCTTGCCCGGGCTGGCTTTGAACGGTGATCCTCAGATCTCAGGCCCCTGGGTAGCTAGGTTTATAGGTGTGAGCTACCAGCGCCTGGCTTTTTTTTTTTTTTTAAATAGAGTTAATATGTTACTATGCATAATCCACATGCAGTTGCTGGCAGGAATCTACAGATGCACTGGGAAACAAGGAAGAATTTAGGAAGACAACAGAGAATTCCATTGGTCCTGTGGCACTTACCACCCACGTTGCTTTTATGCTTATCATAGATTTCTCTCACTTTTCGGTAGCGGAAAGCCAGTTTCCTCATCCAGTCCACACCTCCCTGGACACCCACAGAGGAACCATGGCTACCACTGCCTCCTGAGCCACTGAAACCATCTGTGGAGAAACTATAGTTGCTGGGGAGAGAGGAGATAAGGAAATTAAAATCATGAGGGTTTTTTGTTTGTTTGTCAGTCCTGGGGCTTGAACTCAGGGCCCTGTCCTTATCCTTCGTTTGCTCAAGACTAGCACTGTACCACTAAGCCACATTTCCAGCCCTCATGAAGTTTTTATTGAATGTTCCTGAGATTCTCTTAGTCCTGATCCTTGTATTTAAACAAGGTGAATGGTTTTAAGAGTCTTCTACCTAATCTTTGTATGTCAGAGTTTTCTCTAATTAGTCCTCTTATTTCACCCCATTACTTCCATCAAAGAAAGAAAGGGGCATGTGGGGTAGATCTGCCTAGCATTCATGAAACCCTGGGTTCAGCCACTAGCACTAAGGAATGAAACAGAAACAGAAAAATAAAAGAGAAAGAAAGGACTTGGGAGGAAGGGAAGTAGAAATAATTTAAGTCCCAGAATCCCCTAGGTTGATTTCTTTTCATTAATGCCAGACAGCAGTACAGTGAAAAAAGGCAGAATATAAAGGTGATGGTTACAACTACATGAAAAGGAGAAATGTTAAAATAATGGAAGAAAATAATCCCAAATGCTAATAATGGCCAGATAATGGCACATGTTTTCTTTTTCTTATTTTCCTCCTTTTTTTTGTTTTTGGCACTGTGGATTGAGCCCAGGGCCTCACAAGTGCCAGGGCAGTGCACTACCCAGTGCATTACCCAGCCCACAGATGTATTTCTTCAGTTATCTGTTGACTAGTTTATCAGGCTTATGGGTAGCTGATAACTATTTATGTCTGCAAGGGCTGGGCAGGTGGTAGCTCAGTGGTAGAGCGCTTGCCTTGCATGCATGAGGCCTTAGATTCAATTCCTCAGCACCACATAAACAGAAAAAGCCTGAAGTGGTGCTGTGGCTCAAGTGGTAGAGCACTAGGCTTGAGCTGAAGGGCTGAGGGACAGTGCCAGGCCCAGAGTTCAAGCGCCACAACCGATCAAAAAAAAAAAATACATGTTCACAAGTTGTTTGCTACTCTTATGTAAGTTCTGTTCCCCTTTGGAATTGGCTACCTTTAGAATATAAACACAATGTGGCAAAAGTGACAGTGGTAGGCTTCTGTTGCTGTCTCTGGAGCTATCACTTGAGAACACTCCCAATGAGAGGTACAGCTGGTAATGAACTGAGCCTCCTGTACTCAGTCACAGGGGAGGGGATGGAAACAAGTCCTCCTTCCTCTAGACTCCATTTAAGTTGAGCTCCAGTCAACTTGACTTCGCTCCAGAGACCTACCTAACTAAGCTGCTTTCAAAGTTCCTGATCTAGAGAAACTGAGGTAAGAAATATTTTAATAGTTTTAAGCTACTAATTTTGGAGGTAATTTGTTCTACAGCAGGTAACTAATACAGTTAGTTGGGAATAGTTTTTAAGTATTAATAAAGCTAGAGAGACAACTTGATTCAATAAAGTCTGAGCTCAACACACTGTGAGATTCTCAACAAAATTGCCAAACACAAAACAGGTGAGAAAATAAAACAAACTGGGGTTCAGAATGCATTATAAAGTGCTTTACACTAGACATTTTCCTATAAAGACCAATAGTCTCATAAAAGTAGTGCTCTTATGCTGGACACTGGTGGCTTACACCTATAATCCTAGCTACGCAGAGGCTGAGATCTGAGGCTCCTGGTTTAAAGCCAGTCCCTGAGACTCTTGTTAACCACCAGAAAACTGGAAGTGGAGCCACAGATCAAAGTGTAGAGTGCCAGCCCTGAGTGAGAAAGCAAGCTCAGGGACAGCACCCAGGCCCCAAGTTCAAAGCCCTGCAACTGACAACAACAACAACAAAAAGGTGTGGTTCAAGTGATAGAGCAAATGCGAGGCCCTGAATTCAAGCCCAGTATCACGAATAAACAAATGAATAATAATAAACTACTTAGTTGGAAACACATTTTCTCTTAGTGAAAAAAGTCAGTCTAAAGAGAAACCAGCAGATCTTTTACTTGGGAATGATGTGTGCTCACTCTACCATGCTGTGTTCTTGAGGCCTGACTCACGTGCTATTCCACAGAGACAGCCTCTCCCGTGGTGTGCCACCTGTCCATTACCCGCAGAACGCTTTCTTCTCTCTTCCCATCATCACCTCACACCCTATGTCATGGTTAAGGGTTTCTGCCTCCTCTAATAGGCTGTGAGCTTCTTCATCTTTCCTTTCCTTTGAACCCAGGCAGTATATTGCATATAACAGGTAGATGCTCAAGAGACTGTTGTGTTTATCACCTCAAATCCTGGCCATTATCATCAGAAGCCACATCTTCCACATGCACCTGGTCACACTCCTGTTAAAAGAAAAACCACCATTTTAGTCCAGGGAGAAGAAGTGTTTGTAGTCATCAAAATGACATATTGTAAAATGGCCATAATAACAGCACAATGGAATACCTTCCAGACTCTCCTGTGTGCAGATCATTCACTATCACCCCACTGTTGTTCAACTTCCTTTAAGCCTGGTCCACACCCTAAAGTCCTCATGAAACCTTTTAAAATTAGGTCCTCTCTGAATTCTTGTCTTATGTAAACATCACTTGGGGAAGAGACCTCTCTTATACTGCAGATATGTTCTTGTCGTATACTAGGATGTAAATCTTACTATATCGTAGACTCTTAGAGCAGGACTCATATCATAGGTCTCCTCTGTGTCCTTCTAGTCTAGTCTAGTGTTCTCACATAGTATGTACATTTAGTTTTTGTAGATGAAATAGATGTTGGCAGAATATAGTATAACAACTAAGAGTGATTAAAGTAGAAATGCCTGCACTGAAACTGAGAAATGGGAGAGGAGCTTACCTAAGTCAATCTCCTCCTGTCCTCAAAGGGAGGTAAAGTGAGTTCCTTAGGCTCATACAATTAGTAAGTGGCAGAAAGAGACTATAATAAACTTATGTCTTCTGCTTTGAATCCAAAGCTTTTTCTACCAAGGGCACACTACATGAAATGCCACCACTGCCTAACTCTAATGGAAGTACTCCTTTGGGTACTCCACTGGGCATTTGCATCAAAATCTTCTGAGGGAGTTTATAAAGACCGAATATTCCTGAGTCAATCCCAGAACTACATGAATCAGAACCTCTGTGAGTCAAGTTCTAGAGGATGCTTTTTTTTTTTTTTTGGTCGGTTGTGGGGCTTGAACTCTGGGCCTGGGCACTGTCTCTCAGCTCCTCAGCTCAAGGCTAGTGCTCTACCACTTGAGCCACAGCACCACGTCCGGTTTTCTGGTGGTTAATTGGAGATAAGAGTCTCATGGCCTTAGCCAGGCGCTGGTGGCTCACGCCTGTAATCCTAGCTACTCAGGAGGCTGAGATCTGAGGATCGCGGTTCAAAGCCAGCCCGGGCAGGAAAGACCGTAAGACTCCTATCTCCAATAAACCACCAGAAAACTGGAAGTGGCGCTGTAGCTCAAGTGGTAGAGCGCTCGCCTTGAGCTGAAGAGCTGAGAGACAGCGCCCAGGCCCAGAGTTAAAGCCCCACGACCGACAAAAAAAAAAGAGTCTCATGGCCTTTCCTGCCCGGGCTGGCTTTGAGCTGTGATACTCAGATCTCAGCCTCCTGAGTAGCTAGGATTACAGGTGTGAGCCACCAGCACCCAGCTTAGAGAGGATCCATTTTTAAGCAGCTCCTCAGGTGACTCTTATGCCCTCTGAAGTTAAGAAGCACTGACCTCAGGGTGGGTGAGGGGTAAATACATTCAGGTGAAATTCTTCACAGAGCTTTTAGTCTTCAGTGAGGACTATGTCTAAAAAATTATTACAAATACAGTTTGGCAGTAATTACTGGTGCCGAGTAGATGTTAGTAAATGTTTGTTGAATTAAAGTTAAGCCATCTTAATTCATCAACATATGAAGTTGAGGGAATAAAGCATTAAAGAGTTTAGAAAGCTGGGCGCTGGTGGCTCATGCCTGTAATCCTAGCTACTCAGGAGGCTGAGATCTGAGGAGCGCGGTTCAAAGCCAGCCCGGGCAGGAAAGACCGTGAGACTCCTATCTCCAATAAACCACCAGAAAACTGGAAGTGGCGCTGTAGCTCAAGTGGTAGAGCGCTTGCCTTGAGCTGAAGAGCTCAGGGACAGCGCCCAGGCCCAGAGTTCAAGCCCCACGACCGACAAAAAAAAAGCAAAAACAAAAAAAGAGTTTAGAAAACACTGGAGTATATAGTCTTATTAATTAAATTTTCAGAAGAAATGTCTTTTGAGGGGAATAAGAGTGTATTTAAAGAGAAATAGGATTGCTTTGTGTGTTATTTTGTTTGTTTGATGGTAGTGGAGTTTGAACTTGGCACTTTGTTCTTGCTAAGTTGTAAGTGCACTACCACTTCAGCCATGCCCATAACTAAAATCTTGACTTATTTTTGGTCAGTCGTGGGGCTTGAACTCTGGGCCTGAGCACTGTCCCTCAGTTCTTCAGCTCAAGGCAAGCGCTCTACCAATTGAGTCTCAGCACCACATCTGGTTTTCTGGTGGTTAATTGGAGGTAAGAGTCTCATAGACTTTCCTGCTTGTGCTAGTTTTGAACTGTGATCCTCAGATATTAGTCTCCTGAGTAGCTAGGATTACAGGCGTGAGCCACCAATGTCTGGCAATCTTGACTATTTTTAAAAGCTAGTTAATACATATAGTGCACAGTTCAGCATTTAAAGAGATGAAGTGAAATCTACCCTCATACTTTCCAGCAAACCATTCCCCAACCAGAATAACTGATATTGTACTTGTTTCCTGCCCAAATGACCATTTAACTGAGGGCCAGGATGAACATCACTTTCCAAACTTGAGACTCAACACTGGTCTTCTGACTCTGGACATGCGTTCCTTCCACAGTACCCTGTTCAACTTGAAGGTGAACCCAAATGTCACAGTCAAAAAGTTTTCAGCAAGAAGTTCTTAGTGTTTCTTGATTTTCATAGTATTTGTCTTTTAAAACAATTCTGCATTATCAAGTCCTTATACATGGAAAATAAGTAAAAAAATACACTGAGACCTGGGTGCTGATGCTCACACTTATAATCCTACCTATTCAGGAGGCTAAGATCTGAAGATTGAAGTTCAAAGCCAGCCTGGGATTTGAGTCTGTGAGACTTTTACCTCAATTAACAACCAAAAGCTGGAAGTGGCTCAAGTGGCAGAAAATTAACCTTGAGCATAAAAGCTCAGGGACAGCACTGAAGACCTGAGTTCAAGCCCCAGGAATGGTACCAAAAAATGAGAGAGAGAGAGAGAGAGAGAGGGAGAGAGAGAGAGAGAGAGAGAGAGAGGAAAAAATGAGAGAGAAAGAGAGAGAGAGAGAGAAGAGAGAGTGTGTGTGTGTGTAAGCTGACACAGGAGGATGTTGAATTGAAGGCCAGACTAGGATACATCGGACTTCATCTCCAAAACACTAATGAAAACAACAAGTTAGAACAATTGTTTACCGACTGGACAAATCAAAGGACAAACTTTAAAGAAGGTAAAAATCAAAGAATAGTTAAAATATAATTAACGGTACCAATAACCAAACCCTTCAAATGTTATTTAATATCATAATAAATTAGAATATTGATTCCATTGATATATATCAAAACATTCTATATATTATCAAATATGTAAATATATGAAAACATTTGACATATTAAAACATATATATATATATTAAAACATGCAAAACATTGATGAGTTTCTGTTTCTTCTAATGCTACATCACTTCCAAATAAGCTAATTAAAAACAAATTCTGGTGATCAGGCTGGGACACTATCTTCCAGGATCTTACATGCTTGTGGCCACTAGTCTTTCAATCCCTATCTGGTCTAACCAGGTCTTATCTTATAAACATAGGTCTAAATAGTACCTGAGCAACACACCTCATTGAATCACCGAAACAATTTAAAGGGCTTACCTCTAAGTCATTGAAAAACAGATGTGTATCAGCCACTTCAAAAATCATTTCTTCCATTGTTAAACCTGAGCCAATCACTACTGTTGGGTCCTAAAAGACAGTAAAAGAGAAAACTGCTTGAATTTGATACTTAGCATTAGTTTTCTGATTTTCAAAAATTTCAAAATTACTTTGGGTCTAAGTCAAAGTAACAATGATCCACAATAATGCAACTATTATTGTAATTGTACTTGTATTAATAAGAATCTAGGATTGTCCCAAAGACTATATGAACACTTAAAATGTTCAAGACTTTCATTTCTAAAAACTAGTATTTTCACAGGGCATCAAGTGGAAACACAGTTACAATGAGATTACCTTTCCATATTTCTGGGCGTAGGATCCAGTAAGTAGGGAATGGAAGATGATGATGGTTTCGTCCAAGTCCCAAAGAAATACCCGCTGAGAGAGAAAAAAAAAAAATAATGAGTATCCTCCAAGCACGGTAAAATAGGAAGCCAGAAATAGAAGGAAAGCTGAAAAATTCACAAATGTGGGAGCTAAGCAAGTCAATATTAAATAACCAATAGGTCAAAGAACAAATCACAAATAAAATTAGAAAATATCTTGATATGAGTGGTAAAATGCAAGTCTTGAGGGAAAAAGCCAAGCAGGAGTAAAAGTTCCTGAGTTCAACCCCCAGCACCAACACCAAATTGGTGGGAGAGAAAGAAAGAAAATATCTTTTTTTGGGCTGGGAAGGTGGCTCAGTGGTAGAGTGCTTGCCTTGCATACATGAGGCCCTGAGTTCGATTCCTCAGCACCACATAAGCAAAAAGCCGGAAGTGGCGCTGTGGCTCAAGTGGTAGAGCATTAGCCTT